TGCCAACATGTGGGTGACGCGCGCCCCGCCCATTGGGTTAGTCTATCTCTTATAAGGTCCATGAGTCAATCACGGTGACGTAATTAAACAAGAACAGTCAAATTCAAACTAAAAATGTAGAGTAGTGGTCAAAGATTATACAATTTATTTAATCTGGCTCAGTAACCCTATCATAAAGAAACAGAAATGGAAAATTATAGTAAAGCTGAAATCATAACAATTGGGTAATTTACATAATAATAACTGCCATATCTTTGGAGTAATTTTCTTTAGTATTCAGTTTCTTTCTTCAGCATGTTTTCCTTTTCATTTAGAATTTTTGGATTTAATTAAAGATTTATGTTTTCCTAAAACAGTAATGCATTTAGAAATATAGAAAAAGTGACTAATTTAATTTCTTTAGTAATATGAAATTCAGAAAAATATTAAATATATGGTAAAGCCGGTTACAGAGTGTGACATAATTTTTAAATTTAGTGACACATCAAACAACAAATCTAGAAATGGCAAAACTTTTTAGAATTTAAGCAGGCATTGGAAGCAGAATTTAGAAAGGTCTACGCAGCCGAATTTAGGATCCACAGAGACTGCATCAGATGGAAATGCTTATGCGAGTTCTTGTATGATCATTAAACTATATTAGATGATCTTCTAACAGTAAGTTTTCATTTCTTTATTAATAAAAATCCTTTTCTATAATGTTGCCCATGTGATAGATCAACATTTTTGATATTTTCCATGCTTCTGTCTAGTGAAAGTAAGAAAATAAACAAATAAACATGTTAAGTTATAGTATCAGAAGTAAACATTCAAATATTATGTTTTCAGTTCTTTCCAGGTGTTCTCCAAAATTAAGAAATTCATTACAAACTTTCTGTAAAATCATCCATTACCATTGATACCATGGACATTTTTCATTTTGTCACATATTTCTCAATCTTCCAGATCGTGGGTCTATAATCTTGCCTTCAATCCTTCTAAATTTTTTCAAGCTGCAAGTCAAAATACTAAAAAAATTATCCCAACCAATTCTGTAACAGCAAAAGCCAGAAATTTTTGGAAAAAAAAGAGAAAAGTGTAACAATTTTATAGAGAAACTGATGCATATTCCTAAGAATTTTGAATTTTTGAGACAATTACATGGGAACAACGCTTACTATGAAAAAAAAAAGACCTTTTTTATGAATTACATAGCTCATTTTGCTTTTCCTATGAGCTGTTTTGTAAATTATGCTTTACAGCATTATACCTTATTTATTTTTCAGATTCAAAATATTGCATAAAAAATTGCCAAAATGAAACTTTATAATATGACTGGGAAAAATAAAAATGATTTATTTCAATGTTATTTTTTAAATATAATTCTAATATATTACCATTATTTTATTGAAATTTATCAATGTTATGATGTTTTAAAAAAAATCCTCGAAAAATTCTGATTTTGGAATGAAAAATTTTCTATAGAAATTGATCTTAAAATCCCCAAAATGTTGACAAGTCGTCAAATTTAAAACCGTTTAATAAAAGAATTCACATTCCCAAAAGCGAAAATTGTTTAAGAGCTCTTATTTACGAAAATGAATTTCGAAATGCTTTGTTTCACTTCTTCTTGCTTCGAGTATCCCATGAACTCGATATATTTAGAAATTGAAACAAATTCTAACCCTGAACCCATTCAAAAATACCATATACGTCAGTGAATCGCCAAAAATTTCCTCCAAAATGCTAATCACACTCAAATGGCAGCCGTAAAACAGAATTCAGATGATTAAAATTAAGGACCTTCTACTGATTTTGGACAAAATTAAGGACTCTTAAGGACCAAAAATAGATTCCAAAAAATTTAAGGACTTTTAATGACTTTTAAGGACTGTACGAACCCTGTGTTTTTGTATTATTTTAAGTCTCACTAGATGCAAAGAATAAGTTTTACTTGAAATTTTACATTTTTGTATTTTATCTTGTGAGGATTAATAAAAGGCAATAACTCACTTTAATATGTAATTTTTAAGGGTAAACAGTTAGTTATCAAGTTATAATTAGTTTCAATACCCTAGTCATTATGGATTACATGGCCATTATTAAATTTTATTTTTTAACAATATTTGTTAAAAAAAGCTTATTAAAATCAATATCTAAAATTTCACAGTTTAAAATACATGTAATTTATGACATTGATTTTTAAACCATATTAGGATAATTTACGCATTAAAATCTACAAACTACACTGGGCCGGTATTCCAGAGGTCCATTGTTCGATTCCCAGTGAAGGCATTGTTAATTTTTTATCTTTCCTGTTTTCAAAAATACTTAATGTCTCCACAAGTCTTCGCAATCATTTTGGCTAGTTTATATCGATTTCCTTCTCTATAAGCATCCTCTCTAACAATAATTAGAAATTTGTCTCAATATGCAACCCAATGCTCTCGCTAGTTTCAGCGTGCGTTATCACCACTTGTCAACCTCTCCACAATGTACCTATGAGAGTTTACTTGATCTGGTAAAAGTTAAATAGCCCCAAACCCCCGACATATGTGAAGCAAATTATCGCTATATCTAAAAGTAACTACAATATCAGACAAAGGTATTTAAAAAGAACTTAGACCATAAAGGCATGTTCTTATGCTAACAAAATCAATACAGCTCATGGTGACATAATTAAACAAGAACAGTCACATTCAAACTAAAAATGTCGACTAGTGGTCAAAAATTATGCAGTTTAATTTAAATTTAATCTGGCTCAGTAACCCTATCATATGAGGTTAGAAAAATGGGAAATTATAGTAAAGGTTGAAATCAGAAACAATTGGGTAATTTACAAAATAATAACTGCACATATCTTTGAAGAATAATTTTCTTTATGTATTCAGTTTCTTTCTTCAACAAGTTTCCTTTTCATTTTAGAATTTTTGGATTTAATTAAAAATTTCTTTTATTCTAAAAAAACATGAATGCATTTAGAAGTATAGAAAAAGTGGCTAATTTTATTTCTTTTAATATGAACATTCAGAAGAATATGAAATATATGGTAAAGGCCGGTTACGAGCTGTTGGCAGAATTTTTAGAATTTAGTGCCACACCAACAACAAATCTAGAAATGGCAAAACTTTTATAATTCAGAAAAGCAGAATTTAGAAAGGCATTATGCAGTTGAATTTAGGATCCACAGAGATTGAATCAGATGGGAAAATGCCTAGTGCCAGCTCTGTGTATGATGCATTAAGACATATTAGATGGACCTTTTAAATTTTAAGTTTTTAATTTCTTTATTAATAAAAAAATCCCTTTCTATAATGCCTGCCCATGGGATAAGATTTGATATTTTCCATGCTTGTGTCTAGTAAAAAGTAGAGAATATAACAGGAAGACAAATATGTTAAGAAACAGATTCTAGCATCAGAAGTAAAACATTCAAATATTATGTTTAAATTACTCTTCCAGACGTTCTCCAAAAAGTAAGAAATTCACCGCACACTTTCTGTAAAATGTATCCATTACATGTTGATACCATGTAGATATTTTTCCTTTTGTCACATAGTTCTAGAATCGTGGGTCTATAAATCTTGCTTTCAAATCTCTCTAAACTATCCAAGCTGCAATGTCTACAATCCTAGAAAAAATTATCCCTACCAATTCTGGAACAGCAATAAGCAAAAAATATTTTTGGGGGGAGGAGAAGAAAAGGGGGGGAGGGAAAAAGTGTAAAATTAATTTTATAGAGAAAACTGATGCATATTCTGAGATTTTTGAATATTTTGAGACAATTAAACGCTTACTATGAAAAAATTAAAAAAGAAGACATTTCTAATTAATAACATAGCTAATTTTGCTTTTGCTAAGAGCTGTTTTAAAGGATTCCAAAATAACTATGGATTTAATATAAAGAAAACTTTTTAATTACAGACATTTACAAAATTTAGAAGCAGTTATATACTTTCACAAACGATAGAGCTTATTTTAAAAACATAAAACTTAAACAGAGTTGAGTTGTAGCTGGTACTAATCAAACAAGCTGTTTTGTAAATTGTGTTTTATACCTCGTTTATTTTTCAGATTCAAAATATTGTATATGAAATATTGAAGTTGCCAAAATGAAATTTTATATGACAGCAAAAAATAAAAATGTTTTATTTGAATGTTATTTTTTAAAATATAATTGCAATATATTACCATTATTTTAATGAAATTTATTAATGTTACGATGTTTTAAAAAAATCGTCAAAAAACTCTCAAATCATGGAATTAAAAGTTTTCTACAGAAACTGATCTTAAACCGCCAAATTTAGAACTGTTTAATAAAAGAATTCATATCCCCAAAGCGAAAAGTTGTTTAAGAGCTCTTTACTAGAAAAAATTAATTTCGAAATGCTTATGTTTCACTTCTTGCTTAGAAACTCGAGTATCCCATCATTTATATTATAAATAGAAACAAATTATAACCCATGAATTCATTCAAAAAATAACCATATATGTCAATGAATCGCCAAAAATATTCCTACAAATTGCTAATTCACACACAAAATGGCAGTCGTAAAAACAGACAGAAATTTCATATGATTAAAATTAAAGACCTTCTGCTGATTTTGGCTAAAATTAAGGACTTTTAAGGGCCAAAAATCGATTCTAAAAAAAAAAAGGACTGTACTGAAAAATAAAGACTCTTAAGGACCGTACGAACCCTGTGTGATACATAAATGTGCTGTTATACAAAGTTACATAAAATATTTTAAATTACTCTGGTTTTCTACACATATAATAAAACAAATATGAAAACTTTATAAGGTATATCTGCCGCCTTCCTAGTGTAGTGGTCTGCACGCTGGGCTGGTATTCCACAGGTCTGTAGTTCGATTCCCGGCAAAGGCGATTGCTAATTTTTCATCTCGCTTCCAAAAAATCCTAATGTCATTACAACTTAAACACTGTATTGTTTCCTGCTGTATTCATCAGTATTATTTAAAATGTCTTAAAAAATTTAAACTGAAAAAAAAACGACTCACCTTCACAATTTTGAATTCCCTTAACAGCAGTGATTTCCTAATTAATGAAAAAGGAACACTATTAAATTACATGATTACAACACACAAAAAATACTATATTTCATGTTAACAGTCAATAGATACAGAGTTATTTTTCCAAACCAACACACAGAAGATCTCACAAATTCTTAGATAATTATCCTTTACATCTCCCTTTAGTTCATTATGCAGTATTAAACAAAAATTTCTTATGTGCAATTACAACATTTCTACATATATCATTCAGTAAAAACTTCACGGCAGTAAAAATATATCATCAAAAGATCAAGATAACAACATATCTGTGAAATCTTTGGGACTTTGTTAGTTACCATACCGTTGACAAAAAACAGGAATTTATCTGTTTTAGCCCTGGCGAGAAACAGAAGGTTTTTGATACAAATGCATCAACTATTGCAACAAGGATAAAATCAATTTTCCAAATGGCGGGTCGCTGGTAAGATCATAAAGAAGCAACAAATCCATACAATTTCAAATTAAAGAAACAGAAATTACGAATGAAAGAAATACGAATTAAAACTTATTCTTAATTTATTGTTTCCTACCTCCTGTTCAGGGATTGTAAATAATTATTTATACAAGAAAGAAAGATACACCAAAATAAACATATAATTAGGTAAAGCAACAACCTTGTGTTTGGCATAGATTTTAAACAAAACTATTGATTCCATATGGTATGGGTCCAACTTCATCAGAAGCAACGAAATTCTACAACAAAGGATGCAGCCACACTTATATGAAAAGCAAAGTAAAGTGAATGAGAAAAGTAGCACCATCTGTCCACAAAAATAGTAACAAAGTGAAAAGTTAATTTAGTAGAATTTTAAAAGCATTAGGAAGGAGTTGATTGAAATTAAATTTATTAAATAAACAAGATAAATTTCTGTGAATGTGAAAAGCTTCAAGGAAATCTAATTCACCAAATGAAGAAGCATTTTGGATAATTTCTGTAAATCCAAAATCAAAATTGTGAATAAATTTCTAACTATGAATACACAAAATTTTTTTATTACCTCTTTTTTAACACAAAATTTGTGTTCCTTGATGGGAAACAGTAATGCTCTTTTTCACCAATATAACTCAAACAACACTGACAAGAATTAAAATCAGAAGTGGAGTCCAAGAATCTAATCATGGATTTTATTGATAGGTGAGAAAATAACTTGAAAATTGAACTTCTGAAGGATATATGTAATTTTTATAACTGACAGTGGATGAAACTGAAGAACAATAAGGTTATAAATGTTGTTCTTAATAATCAGAATATATTCTTTGGTGGCAAGATGAAAATTATCTTAAGGCCATTATCAATGACCATGGGAGAAAATCTTCTCTCAATGGTAACTGAATCATGTATTTAAGTTCAGTAAAGATTTTGAGAAGCAAATTTTGAGAGCGTGAAATATACAGTAATAAAAAGAAGCCATTTTTCACATAGCATGAGGAGGCAAATAAACAGAATACAATACTGATGAAATCATTTGCTGCACATTATAAGAAAATCAAGGAAGGGAAGAGGATTGTTAGAAGATTCAATTTTAAAAGTGAACTGGATGGACGGATCAATCGAATTTAAAACAGACAAGATCTAGAATAAATCATTTTTATTATCATCAAATGTACATAATGGCGTGGTTTTGAGGGTAATAAAGATGCTTTATTTTTGCTTTGTTGAATAAGCTTTAAATTTTGGCTCTTCCCAATTTTGTGATAGAGTAAAATACTTTTTATCTAAATTTTCTGGAACACAGCTGTCTCAAATATAAATATTTTATTGATATCCAAGGTAAAGAACATTTTCATAAAAAGTGAGAAAAAGCTTATTTTGGTGCACAATATTTATACTATTTTCACTTATAGTTTACATGCAGTAAATTAAAATTTTCCTTTTCAAACATTGTATTTTTCTTTTAAACTGCATACAGCAAATGTATAATCTTAAACTGATGGCTCATGAAGCAGTTTTAAGTGGACCTTGAATACATTTCAGTTATCCATATATTATATTGCAAAGATTTCAGAATTTTATTAACATGAAGTTCGAGTTTACATTACGTTCATGTAATATTCATTATTATCTAGCAGTATTAGTTATTATTTTCATACAGCTTATTAATTTACAGTGTGGTATAAATCTATTGAAAGATTTGAAGATAGTATTTTTAGATTTTTTTCAGATTTAAAAATTTGTCAAGGGTTAGAAACTTTATAAATGAAAAGCCGTCAAGTATCAAGCTGTAGTAAGAAATAAAGAATTTTTACAATTATTTAAATATAAAAAAACATATTTATATTTGTGTGTTGAAGAAAAATGTAACAAATAACAGAAAAAGACTAAAATGTCATTATTTATTCTCATGTGTTATCTTCTGTAAACACGGACATTTTTCAAAATTGATTTACTTAGTTGATTAATTAAACATGTTAGAACTATTTTAAGTAAATGCCAATCTGAAATTTTAATATTTAGCTGTTCAATACATTTGAATTCCAAAGTAACCAACAAAAATGTCTAGCAGGTATCTAACATTAGATTTCATATTAAAAGTAAATCCAAGTCGAAACCTTCATGATATTATTATAATTGCTTATGTGAATTAAAAAAAATACTTAGTGCGAGAAATTTAGAATTTACTATTTTATAATTCTGTTAATAAATTTCCTAAAATTTTGTTTAAAAAAATTTCAGCCCATCAGCTGTTTTCAGATTATGCATGTGGTCCACGGGCAATTTGAGTTTGAGACCAATGTAGCAAATGATGCACACAATTATCAAAAAGTTAAATTTTATTATCATTAGAATTATTTCCTAAGCTGGCCTAAGAGGCAAAATATTCAGTTCTAAGAGCAAAAGAAATAAGCACATATAAAAAGGGTACTTAGTGCTATCAAAACAATCTTAGAAGTCACCAAATTTTTAGAATGTGCAGAACTCTGGCAATCAGGTGTATACATTGTTCAGGTGTATACATTGTTCAGGTGTATACATTGTTCAACCATGCTAATAACAATCCTTCAGTCAAGTAATGTCACCATTTTTCTATGCGTTCTTTTTGTTGTAGTCTAGCAAGTTCAAATGGCTTTTATTAACAATTCGTGGTATTTTATTAAAACTTAAAATATGGGCTGTAGAGTTTGCTGGCAATAAGAAAAGCTGCGGTAAAATTTCTGCAATAATATACATCTTGCTGCAAAATTTCTAAGGGGAACAAAGAGGAGATGCATTTGCAGCTGCCAAGGTTTGTGATGTAAAATCTCACCAATTCTCTGATGTTATTTTAAGAGAAAGTAGACTTATGTATACCTGGGGAAAAGAATACCTCAACAAAATTACAGAAAGATTTGGAGAAGAATGCAAATGCTTTATTCTTTTAATCTACCATGTAATCTTTATTTAATAATTCAAAATCACATTAAAAAATTTTCAAAATGTTTTTTCTTTTGATGTGTTGATAGTAGTTGCTGACTTATGACAAATATCAATAATTTGGGAATCTTTAATAAAAGCTGCGAAAACCATAAATTTACACTCGATAAGCAACTTTAACCTTTTCACATGTAAAAAAACTGCCAAACTGTGCCAAGGTGCTAACGTTAATATGTTGCATAAAAAAGTCAATGTCTTTTACATAAAAAATACAATAACATCTTAAAGAACACTGGAAACATCAATACCAATCCCTTGCTAAATTTCTTCAACAGGTAAATATTCACCAGGGATTTGCGTTTACAATTTCTTTTCTACACTAACACGAAATATTTAATGCTTATATTTTTAAGTTTATTCAATTTTTGACAAATATAGAGCCCTTTAAACTGACAAGGAACCAGTAAGTATCCTTAATTGAAAATCCTTTTGTGTATAAGATTCCACACACTTTTGCATTCTGCAGCCTATTTAAAAAAATAAACCTAAAACAGTTGAAATGATTGGCTTTTATGCTTACTTATCGAATGTTACTTTTCCCCAATTTGCCAGTTAAATCAATTTTCAATAAAGTAAGATTTTACTGAAATCCAGAATATTAAGCATAACTTCCTACCTAGCAGCTTAGAGATAGGTTAAGTAAAAAAAGTAAGTTAAGGTTATGCAAGATTAAAACAAATACCTTATATTTGTCAAAAATGAATAAACTACTTATGGTGCTGTTCAGCATTAGCTAAAAAACATCAATTCCAAAATGAGCTCTAACACAGGCATGAAATAGTACTTATTCATATAAATTTTGCTATAGATATACCAAGATTTGAAAACTAGACAATTTTTGATTACTAGATAAAAAAATTAGATAGATTTTGAAAACTAGACAAACTAGACAAAAATTCTAGACACTGCAGTATTTGAATATTTGTACGAGGGCATTTCGAAAAGTAAAGATACACTGAACATCAGAGAAAAAGAAAAGTTTTGGTGAGCAAGTTGGCAACACAGGTCTTAACTTTGAACCACTAGCTTTCTCCTCGCGGTCATTCGGCATTTCAACGTTGATTCTGGTTGGAGTAGGTAGTGTTTAAAATGGCTGCGCCGATTAAAAATCCCGCCAAATGCGCTCCATCATACGTTTTTTTCATGCAAAAGGTCAGCGACCAGCGGAATATTCACAAAGAAATTGTTTCTGTTTATGGGAACATTATGAATCAACAAAATGTAACGAAAGGGTGTCGACATTTCTCTGAAGGTAGGACCGATGTTCATGACCAACAAAGAACAGGTCGGCTACCTGTGATCTCTGATGCCCTTCTTCTGAGAAGAAAGGGAGCAATTCGTGCGAATAGACGTCTCTCAAATTGAAAGAATTGCATCCGATTATATCGGAAGTATCAATGACAACTCTATATGAAGTTGTGACTGTCAAGAGTTAGGGTACAGGAAATAGTGTGCGCGCTGGGTTCCAACAGGCGGCAACCTTCTAGACTGTGGGATACAAAAGCTTGTGCACCGACTTAACAAATGTTTGGATAATGGGGGTGTTATGTCAAAAAATAATAAACAATCCAGTTAATAAGATGTAACTGACGTTTTCTAAATAATTTTTTTTTTTTTTTAAGGAATGCGAGCCATTGTTTCTTTACTTTTCGATATGCCCTCGTATGTGATTCGAATTACTCTAACAGTGCATTTTTTGACAAGTTTACTTATGGCCAAAAGTGAATTAAGTATACAATGTGATTATGAACAGTCAAAACAAAAATGTCATGGACCTACCAATACATGACAATTTGTTTCAGAAAATGTTACAGAATTAAAAATATTTAATTTAATTTACATGCAAAACAATATTTTGTGTTGATTTATTTACCAAAGGCTTAAAAATAAACATCAACAAATCTTGAGTAACATTACACATCTCCTCAAACTGCCAAACTTTGCAGGTCTCTTGAGTCAAATTAGGATGACCACCTGAATCTAAAAGGAAAAATAATTTCATGGTATACATATTATGCATAAAAAATACAGCTTTTATGTTATTATTAGTTTGACTGTTAATTACAGGTCATAAGTGTTGGGCTTACAGAAACTAATAATTTAATTACAGGTCATAAGCGTCGAGCTTACAGAAAGTAATAATTTAATTAAAGGTCATAAGCATCGAGCTTACAGAAAGTAATAATTTAATTACAGGTCATATGTGCCTGGCTTACAAAAATAAATTCCTTGCAGTATCAGGGGCATACAGTACATTTTCCATGAAGCTGTTTCTCCATGAACTCTTTTCCTAATGTTTTAAGTGACAGGACACTATGTCCATAAGCTTTCATTTCAAATGGATACTCAAATTTTGTACTAACTGAAACCAGTCAGTTTGTAATATGCTGAGTAGCTCTAGTGTCGATTACCCATGCATTATTATTAGTCACAATGAGACACTCACTAATAAAGGCTCCTCCATAGTTGGACTTTTCATCATGATTGACTGTCATGTAATTATTTTTTTGGGATTTACAGTCCTTTTAAAACTGACCCTTTTTTGCCACATTAAAACATATATACTGTTTTCTCTGTTAATTAACAGGCCGATTTTTTCTTGAAAATGTTTGCACGCTTGGAGTTTTTCTAACAGTATCTTCAGCCATTAAAGTAACAAGTTTACTGTTCCTAGATGGCTCCGACTTCTTTCTAATCTGATACGATCTGAACATGTATCGCCGGGATCGACGTGTCCGGCTCAGTGAGTTAAAGCCCAGTGGGCGCATGACATCGTAGGTCTGGACCATAGCAGATTAGAGGATTGAGGTGCAGAAAAGGAGGCGACTGTGAATCGCAGAGTCGAAACAGGCAGAAACAGAACAGAAAGCAAAGGAGCATTAAGTCAGAATGCGACGCTGCATTGAGTGCTGTGAGGATGCATGGAGAGTGGGGACAAAAGTTGACCGATAAAGTCCTGATGTGTAAGAGCTAGCATGGCCTAAAATCCTGAGGCAAGTGAGAAAATGAAAATATACAAAGTAAACAACAAAATACAACAGTGGCAATAGATGAGAGTAAAATACAAAATATGAAATACAAAAATTTACAGTTACAAAATACAACAGTATACAATACTAAAATACTACTTACAATAAACAGTAACTATTTACAGAGATATGTACAACAAATATATGCACTACATCAGGAAGTTCGAGTCCCGGGTGAGGTGGCTGAGAGTACCGGGTGAGGTTCTTTAGTAATATGAACATTCAGAATAAATATGAAATGATATATGGCAAGAGCTGGTTATAAAGCAGTTGTAGCAGAACTTTCACTTTTAAAATTTACTTTTAAAAGTTAAACTTTTAAAATTTAGTGACACACCAAGCAACAAAATCTAGAAATGCCAAAACTTTAGAATTTAGGAAGGAACTAGGCAGCAGAATTTAGGATCCACAGAGATTACATCAGGTGGGAAAATGCGTAGTGTATGATGTTGATGGACTGAAACACACAAGATGAATCTTTTAAATTGTCAGTTTTCAATTTCTTTAAACTCAAGAAAAACTCCTTTATATAAATGCCTGTCCATGTGATAAGATTAGTAGCATTTTTGATATTTTTCATGCTTGTTTCTAGTGAAAAGTAGAGAAAACAAAGATGTTAAGAAAAAGACTTCTAGTATCAGAAATAAACCGTTCAAATATTATGTTTTCATTGTTGTTCCGAATATTCTCCAAAATGTTCATCATAAACTTTCTGTAAAGTACATCCATTACATGTTAATACCATGTAGACATTTTTCTGGAATCTTCTAGATTCACGAGTCTATAAATCCTGCCTTCAAATTCAGAAACATTCCAAGTTGAAATGTCTAAATACTACAAAAGTTACCCCTACCAATTCTGTAACAGGAAAATGTCAGAAATAAAAATAAGAGGAAAAAAGTGTAAAATTAATTTCATAGAGAAAACTGATGCATATTGAGACAATTACATGGGGAAAACTCTTACCATGAAAAAATTAAAAGCATTTTTTAAGTAATTATACAGCTAATTTACTTTAGCTAAAAATTGTTTCGTAAATTGTGCTAAAGCGCAATTTAAGCATTTATTACCTTGTTTATTTTTCAGATTGAAAATATTGTATAATAAGTCTCCAAAATGGAAAGTAATGCAACTTTATAATATGATAACGAAAAATAAAAACGTTCCATTTTAATGTTATGTCTTGAATATAATTTCAATATATTAGTATTATTTTAATGACACTGATCAACGTAATAATGTTTAAAAAAATATCGTCGAAAATTTCCCAGATTTCTGAATTCAAAATTTTCTACAGAAGCTGATCTTAACATTGCCAAAATGTTGATAAGTTGCCAAATTTGGAACAGCTTAATAAAGAATTCATATTGCCCAAAGCAAAAAGTGGTTTAAGAGCTCTTCATTAGAAAAAATGAAATAATTTCGAAATGCTTATGTTTCACTTCTTGCTTAGAAACTGAGTATCCCACCGTTTATATTAGAAAATAGGAACAAATTACAATCCATGAACCTATTCACCCATTCAAAAGATTTGTCTATACACTATATTTGTCAATGAGTCGCCAAAAATATTTGTCCAAAATGTTAATTCACATTCAAAAAGGCAGTCATTGAAAAAAGACAGAAATTTCAGATGATTAAAATTATGGTCTTCCTGACGAATTTGGTCAAAATTAAGGAATTTTAAGGATCAAAAATTTATTTGAAAAAATCTGAGGACTTTTAAAGACCATACAAACCCATCTCCTGTATGTAACACTGTAAGCAAAATGAACCTAAATAAAGTACAATTTCTATGAAATTAAATTCTCTGTTTTACAAAATTCTTAATTATTATAAATGTTCAGTATTTTAAGTGTAAAAAGAAGCTTTATAAATATCTCATCAAATACATCAAAACCTAACTTCAACAAAACAACAGCTTATAAAATAAGACAGTGAACTATTAAAGAGTATTCATTAAAATATAGCTACAAAATTTTCAAGGACAGTTACAACCTTTGTCAAACGAATATTCATTTATTAAATATTAATTAAATGACCATTCTAAGAATTTGTAATTGTTCCACTTGAGTAGTGAGCGCATTGTAAAGATGAACGTTTTTGATTTCGGACCTGACTCATAAAGAATTTAATTTAAAGAATTTTTCTACCTCTCGGAATTTTGATTTATCACTAGCTTTTTTCATTTCTTGAAACATGTTTCTTACATTTATCATGAATCATTTTATTCTTATTTCGTTCATTATTATTACTGTTTTCCATTCTAGTTTAAATATAGGCACTGTAATTAGAAACCAGTAACCCTTTACACAATGATATATTTGCTATTCTTGTGTAAATTCTCTCTTTATTTTAATCTTGTTGCATATTTTATTGATTGTGTACAAATGTCTGAACCTCATTCTAATTTCAAAAATAAGAAACAAAAGCAATATTAAAATTATTTATGTATTAATTTGGCAGCATCAAAGCTATCAAGTTGCAAGTGATGATAAATATTCTGTTTTAAGCCTGTGAAGATATTTAGTGCCAGTAAACCATAAAAAACATGGTTTGGTTAGACAAGTAATGAATTTAATCACTGAATGTTTGGAATAAGGACGATTATTATTAGAACAACCAGAAAACTTTAATATTATTTAAATTTTTCAATCATTCTCTGAATATCTTGTACATTTAATGAAAAGAAAGATATCTAAAGAATTATAGTCACCTTTCCTAATAAAACTTTTAATATAATGAATGCAAATGAAAGAACTGTCATTCACATCTAATATTTGCAGGACATAAATATTTTAGCAGAGCTGTGCTTTATTTTCATCACAAGCATGTTAATTCAAAAAGATTATTTTAAAAAATTAATGGTATTTCAGTTTATAGATATGAGAAATCACTTAGAAGCACTACTAATCAAAATGTAATTACTTTAACATATTGGCCTTTTTTTGTGTGTGTGTAAAAAGGCATATTTACTTTTCTTTCTTTTAACAGAAAAATTACTTTGGTACTTACGGAAAAATCCCGTCGATCATTTTTGCCTATTAAAGAAAAGACTCCAAACTATGCAATTTTTCGCGAAAAATGGAAACGTCTTCTTCAAATAGGCTGGCTTTTGATGTAACCTTGATTATATGTGTTAGTTATTATTCTTGAGTAAAGACTCCTTTTTCTCCCTCTACCATGCATTTTCGGGGGGGGGGGAGATTACAATTTGGGACCTGCCTACTACAGAAGAGCATGCTGTTGAATATTTCCAAAGGAAATATTGCACAGCGAAAATAATTGCTTTTACAGTATATCTCCTTAATAAAAATAATGGTAATTTTTAATGAAAAATTAAATATAAATAAATGATAACATAATAAATTTGAAAGAAAAATAAGAATAGAACATTTTTTCTTGTATTTAGTAAATGGGTTTTTTTTAGTTTGGCATGATTGGTGCCATCTCTTGCTGGTTGATAGGATTTTCTGTAAGTACCATTACTTCATTTTAATCTTTTGCTGAAAATGTAATTTTCTCTATAATCCATCAAATTTATGTTTGGAACAAATAAATTTTATTGGATGAACTTTTTACTTCTATTTATATGGGTAATAATATATAGAGAATAATCAATTTATAAAATGCTTTACTTATTACACAGATTCTTTTACATATACTCTCACACTACACATAAACAAATAAGCCAACAGAGGGGCTAAAGAACTATTAAAAAATATGAAGTTAATTTTATTACATGGTAAATGGTGTTGCAGGTCATTTAATTCTCTTTATATACATTTCAAAACAATTTTATAAATCTTAATTTGCATTAAAACTTATTTGTGTATATAACTGTTTAATCTTATTATCCTGTGTTGTTAAACTGCTTAATAAACAAAATTTTGCAATAAAACAGACCGAATGTGACTCTCTTTTGACCAAACTACGAAACAGCACAGATATATATATATATATATATATATATAAAATGCTTTGTGCTTGAAGCTTTCCATGAGTGTCACATGATTTTTCCCTCTTCAATCATTCTATTGGCTAAACATCGACTTCATTTGCATCTTCGTTTGGACGACTTTTCACCGCCAATGTGCATTTCATTCTTCGATGTATGTCACTAGTGTAGTTGTGTGGACACCAGATATATGTTCACAATTTTATTCTTTCCCTTCATTAATCAAGAACATCAAGCTACAATATTGGAAGAATTAAAAAAGAAAATGAGAAGAGAAAGGAAATTTTCTTACCTAGCAAACAGTCCAAACTTGTAAAGAATTCAGAATTGAAATTTGGATCACTTAACAGGTCTTTGCAAAGAATATCATAATCTTTTTCATTTAAAGGAGGTAATGATTCAGTATCCATACTTTCTAAATAAACCAGTAAGTCATCCGAAGAAATATTTTCAGTCCTAATTTCATTACCAAATCTTGCACTGTATTCCCTTTTGGGAATTTCATCAGGAATAGTACTTAATTCTTCTTTTTTCATCTTCAATAGACAGGCCTCTTCAGATATTCCACCAAAAAAGTGGTCATGAGCTATAGAATATAGTATTGAATTTTTTTCACTCGAATGGTCATATTCTAGTGCTGCTTCTGGTGATTTTGCAGTATCATAACCAGAATCAGAAGAACATGGAGAATATAGATTTATAGCTATAATGTTCGTTTCCTCCTTTTTTCTTTTCCTTCTCTTCCGTATTTCTGAAAATGAAAATATTTTGTTTTTAACAAACAATCATATTAATATACTTTTAGATTAACTAAAAATTTTAATTTCTGAGTTTAACAGTGTTATATTTTAACTCTTTCTATTTACAGATTCCAAAGTCTATGTTTCAGAATCTGTTCCAAATTCCTTCTATCCCAAAATTCTTTAAATTTCCTCTCACTGTTAGCAGGGTTCATACACATTTCTACACATGGAAATAAAGTATTTTTAACCTTTCATAGACAGACATCCCATATACGCATTCCCAGTGAACTTCTCTCACAGCCAGGCATGAGCTTAGGGAATGGGTGATGCATATGTGGTTTTTAAGCTGAAATATTTTTTAAGACTTGAACTGGACGTAGATTTTACGATCCTGATCTTCAGTTTGCTCACATTCTGCCTGATTTCGGTATTTTGCTCATCAGCTATTGCGGAAGAGGAGGAAAAGGATAATGTAAACAAACAGAGCTTGGCTCTTTAACTTACCCCCTGATATAAACATTTGAATTTTTGACATATCTCCAAATCCTTTTTTATTATTTTTTCACTACTATGTGGGGTTCTGTGTAACGTTGCACTCCTTTTGCATACTTCCCTTTTTATTTTAATTTACTGAAGAGTTAGAAAGTAAATATTTCTAGTGTTTCTGATATGGACATTTTGTCAGAGACTGATTTCACGAATGCTTGCCTTTCACTTTCTGTGAAAGTTGGACTCAAGATACTTCACCTTGGACTTGAGTGCTTGAGGAATTGCATGTCTATATGTTATTGAAACAATAGGAACAAATTCTGTAGTAATTTCAAAAAAAGAAAATTTCTTTCATATTTTCTTTGTTGCTGATCGACTAAATAAGACTGTTGAAGAAACAAAAGGGCTTTTTGAAATGATAAAAATGATAATACTGATGGACATTATCAAAATGCCTAATTTGAAAATGTATTTACTACAAATGATATAGCTCCTCTCTGATTTTCAATAGAGTTATGCCTAGAGATATGTTCCTTAACGTCTTAAAATTTTTGCATTTCACATTAGACAAAAGTGTTAGTTAAAAGATAAAAAAATTAGGAGTAATCGTAGAAAACCTGAAAAATAAATTTAAAAGAACCCAAATACTCAAGAAAAATATTTGCACTGATGAATCCCTTTTTTCTAGGGAAGGATGTCTTGGCTTTCATCAGTATGTTCCATCTAAAAGATCGTGCTACGGTATAAAAATATGTGAGTTATACAAATCAGTTACCTGTTAAGAAAATGAATTTTTTAATTTATTGTGGGAAAGACACAGAAATGTGAATGGGTCTTATAGAGAAACAGTAGTAAAAACAACAATGTGAGCCTTATGCGAGAACAGCCTGCCAAGTGGAAAAATGACTGAACACTGGCAGTTCTGACCTGGGTTCGATTCCTTACAAATGGGCTGGCTGCATAGGCATTTTCATTGTTTTCCCCATGCATAACATATATATGAGCCAGTTTTCACACGAAAGTGCTTCATGAAGGCATCCCTCATCTCAAGCAAATAGCTGTTGTGTGCTTTCCCAAGATCAACTAAGCCAAGCTTACGTGATAAAGGCTATAATTTATAATTTCCCATCACTTGCAGAATACTTGCATTCCGTATTTGCAGAACAGTATTCAAAACAATAAAAAGAATCCTCATAAACTTTGCAGAAAGAAAACTAAAAAAGGGTGAATTGATGCGATACAATGAGACAACATGAACATCAATGCCTTCAAAGGGGGAGGGAGAAGAAAGAAGGATGTTTTTATGCTAACAAGCATATGTGGGCCAGAACTGGCTAAATCTAGCAGAAAGGATGACAATTATTGGAGAGGACCTTTTAAAACCTATATGTATTATAGATTACAACAAAAACATAGGTGGTCTACACATAGGAGATGCAATTATGACACATTATTCATGCTTTAGAAAAATCGGTGAAACGGTTAAAAAAATTTCTTTTTGGGCTGATAGATATAACAATACTGAACTCCAACATTCTTTGTGACAAAAATACACCATTAAAACACCACTTCTACAATTTTAAATGAAACTGATTCAATAAATTTTGGAGAACTACTATCAAGAAGAAAAGCAGTTTACTGACATATCTGTACCAACACCTGTATGATTATGTGGAAGCATCTACTCTCTGTATATGAACAAAAAGGATGAAAAAAAAAAAAAAAACTGAAGAAAGTGCACAGTTTGTTCACAAACCATACTTAAAACAATGAGGAAAAACAACAGCTATTTTATACTCGTTTCTGTGCTTTGAGATTTACTACGCTCTATATTCGATTTTAAATTTTGTTACTTTTCTTGTAAATAGTCTTTCTTGTATATTTTATTAATTTTATAGTATATTAACATATTTTGCCAAGTCAAACTTTGGAATAATTTGAATAGCGCTTATGAAATTATTTCTCAAGGCAAGCAATGTTTTTTAAATATATTTTCATGATAAATAAGGAAAGATTATTAAATGCTAATTTTAACAAATATGACAGCTTAAGTAAAAATTTAAAATGATAAAAAAATTACGACATTATGCTGAAGGGCACAATATCCCTATTCTGTGGGACAATTCTTTCCAACACCCCTCTGTCCCAAAGTAACATCTTAAACAAAAGCATTTCATCTGAAAAGGGTTACATACCATCAATAAAAACAAATTAAGGATTGAATATCTACATCCAAACTTATTTTTTGTAAATACTATTCTAAAAATAAATCTGTAAGTATGATGAATTATTACTAAACATAATTCTAATATTTAATTATAAAATTCAAAAAAATAAAATCAACATCATAATTTTTTTAAAGTAAAGTAAATAAATAGCATTGAACTATAAAATTTCTTGAAACACTTATCTTTTACATTATAATACTTCTGCATATTTAAAGAAGACTAGTGACTCTTTATATAAATTTTACTAAGAGCTTTATATTGATTCTTTTATGCCTAATTTCAGCATGTACTCACTCAGTCCAGAGGTTTACACAGATTTTATGTCAGGTGGCATAGGTTAAATTGAAAAGTAAAATAACAATCAGCATAATTCATAACAGAAGCCTGGCTGTTGCCACTACAGATACTGGCTTACAGAGAAAGGGAATGCCTATTCACAAAATACATGAATGCTTGACATTGGCACCATTTGCATACATTGACAGTTAGTTGCACTTTGTCTGTCTAACTCAGTTAATGCTAGAGTTGTAGCCCATAAATTTCCTCAGAAGTTTTGTATTATTTTAAGTCTCATTAGCTACAAGGAATAAAGCTTTATATTTTTGTATTGTACCTTGCATCCACAAAAAGGATTAATAAAAGGCAATAACTCACCTAAACATGTAGAGGTAACTTCTAGTTAGTTACAAATAATTAAATTATGTTAGTTTAGATACCTTTACTTTAAATAGATTTTGAAAGTAAATCTCATCATCATCACCAAATATCTCTGAAATTTGTGGACTGAAAAACTCCTGAAGCAAATTGAGGTAATTCTCACCAGTGACAGTTCCGTTAAAAAAAAAAAGTGGTCTTATGAGGCCCAATGTGAATATCCCACACGACACTGTTACACCTGGTAAGTCTACATTGCGTTTAAGTGTTACATGAGGATTTACAGGCCCCCAGTACGTGCAATTATGGCCATTAATGGAACCATTTAATTTGGAAACCCTGCATCTTCTGCACATTTTGTCAGGTACCATTCACAGAATTGAACTCTCTGGTCAGGATCATCTTTGTTAGTGTTGGAATGTAGCATTTCCAGTGCAGAGGCGCTTCATCCTGAGCAATTTGTCAAAGAGATTTCTGTGATGATCAAAAGAGTGTTTCCTGCACCTGCTCTTCTTCTTTTCCAGGGCTCGTGGTAGTCCGGAACGTTTCTTATTGACATTCTGGACGGTTCAAACTTGCCTTTCATGTGAGCAACGGTTCATCTCATTGGTGGGGTTTTTGAAAATTCCCATCTGTATTGTCTTTGCACTTCAATGGCATTTTTGGTCTTCCAATAACATTTCAGACAAACTTTCTCTCTTTTAAGTTAAGTTGATTTCCTGCCATGCTGTGATAAATTAATTACACCTGCAGTTAAAAAAAGGCAGCACGTTAGCGACAGTTAAAGTGCGATTACATTTCTTTGAGACACCCTGTATTTAATTATACCCTGCATTAGAGTTCTATTTTATTTTTAGGACAGTATTAGAAAGTGAAATTCAGGCATAGATAATATTTTTAATTGAATTTATTCAGTTCCCATTTGCTCATAGGTCCTTAATTTTTTTTCATTAATGGTCCTTAAAAGTACTTAATTTCCGTGTGCAGAAATGTGTATGAATTCTGACACACTAATAAAAGCATAATAATGCCCAAGCAGTAGTAACATTCCTTTTTAAATTAATATAGTCATCAAATAAGATAATATAGATAAGAACCATACAAAAAGTTAGATTTTGCATTTTTGGAACTGTTTCCTTTCTAGTGTGGAAATTTGTTTTATAAAATTCTCTATTTTTTTTCTCTTTTAGTTCAAAGGGGCTTTGTCCCTGAAGGACTATTGTTTTTGTTTTGCAATTTTGCATTGAATGATTATAAATCTCTGTTTCACTTTTCAAACTGTTGCCACCAAATGTTAGAGTCCTGCATTATATTTGAAGAAATTAAATAATGAAAAATCTGCATAAATGTATGTATATTTCTCGCATTGTAATAAAACAACGGTACATAGAGCCATCGAATTTTGAATGACATCCTCTTAAGAATATGGGAATGTGGAAGATCAGATTTGAAATTTGGAATTTGTTTATGATCGATTTCATATTTTGTAAAACATTAATAAATTTTTTAGTAACAAACTCAACGATTTAAAAGCCAGCAATGGCAACACTCTACGGGGGGGGGGAACCTTTTTATCTCCAGTGCGCGGAACTGTGTATCCGAAATCCCTAAAGATATGCTCACTTTAAAATTATTTG